GTTACCTTTGGTCTGACCCAGTACGGCTGTTCTTATGTTCAAATCTCAAGAGTCTACCTTGCCATGTGGTGAGTGAGGACATGCAGCATTATTCAAGGAGGGAATGAAATGTCCTTCCGAGAACAGAGCCATGCAGAGCAAGAGGCTGAGATAAGATTCCCACATTATGACAGGACTTGATAAAGACTTCTTGGGAAATCTGAACGTTTTGTGTTCAGTCAGTTCATTTAAGTGTGTTGGCATACACCGAAACCATGAAGAAGATTCCAGAAATTCCAGTCTTAGCAAAAACATGCTGCCTGTCTACAATGGCGGGGAGTTCTTGCACAAGAACACTGACGTTCTAATGTGTGAAATCAGTGCTTCTTGCGCAAGAACTATGATGCTCTTGCTCAGGAATAAGCCCTCTTGCGCAACTGTTCTTGCGCAAGAGGCCTGTGTAGACAGGCAACATGAATTTCTTGTTCAAGAAAGCCTGATGGCTAAAATGGCCATCGGAGCTTTCTTGCGCAAGAGAGCGTCTACACTGGCATGGATGCTTTTGCGCAAAAGAGTAGTCATCGCCGTGCCTCATTTGCATATGTTTTTCTGCAAGACTTGGTGATATAGATGTAGCCAATGAGAAATTGAGCCATTACAGGATGGTGGAAGAATGTACAGTAGAAACCTTAGAGATATAAACACTTGGGCTATGTCTACGCTGCAAGCTTCTTGTGCAAGAACTGTTATTCACAAGAGTGAGTCCACACTGCCATGTGCTTTTCCAGAAGCCATGTGCTTTTGTGCAAGAGCATCCATGGCAGTGTGGACGGTCTCTTGCGCAAGAAAGCTCTGATGGCCATTTTAGCCATAGGGGGTTCTTGCGCAAGAAATTCATGTTGCCTGTCTACACTGCCTTCTTGTGGAAGAGCTTTTGTGCAAGAAGGCTTATTCCTCATGGGGAGAAGAATAACTGTTCTAGAAGAAGCGCTGTTTTCTGACACTGTACTGTAAATTTACTTGCACAAGAACGCACGTGCAGTGTAGACGCTCTGCAAGTTTTTGCACAAGAACAACCATTCTTGCGCAAAAAGCCTGCAGTGTAGACATAGCCTGAGACTTTCACCCTCCTCAACAGCACAAAGGCTGTCTGATCAGAGAGTAGAACCATTCTGCTTTGTCTCATCTGTGTACCTCTCTGCCTCTCTCAGCTCCTCCAGTTCAGCAACTCTGGTCTCCAAAGGCTGTACACAGTCCCTGAGGGTCAGGAGCTCCTTGCACCAAATGCATACATACCCCACTTGTCCGTAAGGCAGGTAATCAATCACACATTAATCCTTTTGAGCACTCAACTTCCATTCCATCTTATATTCTGCCCCTAAGTCCACCTGGCCTGGATCCAGAAAGTATATTAAACAATTCCATAACTTTCTGCAGTGCAGGTATTCCCAGAGATACAAAGGCCATGTTTGTCCAGGTGTGAAATACATATTGCAAGTATCACCAGCTCTTCTGATTTGGGCATGATTCTGGCAATAGTTGGCATATTCATGAACGTATAAACTTCAGGGTACTGAAAGCCAAGAGGCAATTCTCTGTACCAGCTCAGAAAAAAAGGCAAACAAAAGGAATCCAAAATATATATCTTTTTTTTAAAAAATCATATTTTTTTTTATTTATGTCCTTTGAATTTGTGGTGCTGTCCATACTGTATGTCTGTGTGTGACACTAAGCCAGAAAAGGTGAAGCAACTAGCAGGCTAAGTGATCCAAATTGAAAAGTACACAAATGTTAATTAAGGCCATTCCCTATAAAAATTGAACACAGCCATGTGATATAGACTAGGGCTATGAAATAAAAACTTGTATTAGAGAATTCAATGTAAATGCTAATTATATTTGGATATAGCTTGTTGGATGTTAATAGTGTAACCTGTGGCTGTTAATTCCTTTTTGTGTCTTAATTGCATTATATTGTGGATGGTTCAGTTAAGCTGAAGATCAAAGATGTAAGATTTTGCAGGAAGTTGTATGACTTACATCGTCTTCGGTTTCAGGTGCCTGTGCCAGACTGCAATGCCCTGATAGTTGGAATGGATGTTCCGTTATGTTCTGTAGTTTACCTGGGTGTACATAGGAAACAGGGATTTTTATGTCAAAGCACCAAGTGCATTGCCTGTTCTTTGCCAAAGGAATGCCTGGTGCATTGTCATGCTGGCAAGAGGCTGCCACCGCCTGCTAGAAATCTATCAGAGTTCTCTAGGGGCACGTCTACACTGCCTCTTTTTTGCAGAAGGGACAATGCAAATGAAGCACTCATTAGCAACTTCACTCGCTTCATTTGCATATTCTCTTCTGATGCTTTTTGCAGAAGAGGTTTTTGCCCAAAAAAAGCAGTGTACACGGGTCCATTTTGCGCAAAAAAATCCTTTTGCACAAGAACCTGTAAACCTCATTTTTTGAGGAATAAGGGTTCTTGTCTCCTTTTTTGAGGCATAAGAAACTTGTGCAAAAGGGTTTTTGTGTGTAAAACAGCTACACAGCTTGTTTTTGCACAAAAAGGATCAAAAGAGAATATGCAAACAAAGTGTGAGAAGTTGCTAATGAGCGCTTCATTAGCAGTGCCTCTTTGCAAAAAAAGAGGCAGTATAGACATAGTGCAAGGCGTGATCTTGTCATCTCAGTTCTGCTTACACTTGGTCAAAAGAAGCTTGACTTGCAAGACTGAAGACTCCAGTCTGGATTATGCTTCTAATCCTTATGGAAGAACTGGAACAAACTCTGTCTATGGGCTGCCTGCTTGGACTGTAACCTAGGGAATTGATTCTGGACATAACTTTCTTGCAGCTCACCATCTCTACTATGAAGTTGTCCTAAGGATGTCATCCCTTTCTATACATGACTTTAACCGCATCACTTTCTGTATGTGATCTTTCTTCATAAATTTTAGTTTAGTGAATAGGAATTGGCTGTAAGCTTGTATGTGGGGGAGATTTGAGATATTCATTGACCTGGTAGGTAATGTCTTACCCTTTGGGCTCGATAGAACATTATGCATGACGAACAAGATTTTCACTAATCCTCATTGTAAGTAATGTCTTACCCTTTGGGCTCAATAGAACATTATGCATGATGAACAAGATTTTCACTAATCCTCATTGTATTTGACGTGGCTGTCTGGATGGGTGCCCTGGGCTGGATTGCTTTAAGTCCTAGTCTACAAGCCCTTATTTCGAAATAACAAGTGGAGTGTCCACACTATGAGCACATCTGTCTACACTGCAGGGCAAAAGTCAAATTAAGCTATGCAACTTAAGATATGCAATTAATGTAGCTGAAGTTAAAATAGCTTAATTTGGCTTTGGTGCGTTCTACACAACAGGAAGACAAAGGAAGAACACTCTTCCGTTGACTTCCCATTCTCCTCATGACACGAGGGTTACGGGAGTCGAAGTAAGAAGTCCTCCAGCTTGGTAGTATTTCAAAATAACAGAATTGCTGTGTAGACATGTTCTTTGTTATTTCAGAATAATGAACCCGATCAAGCCCATTATTTCAAAATAAACTGGTTCTTTCAAAATAATGACTGCTGCTTTCCATGAAGAATGATGATTATTTTGAAATAAACAGCAGTAGTGTGGATGCGTCACTGCTGCTATTTCGAAATAACTACTCCCCAGAGTCAATGTAATTACTCCCCAGTGCTTCCTGGGGGTCTGAGTTAAAGTAGCACATCCACATTAAGGGACTGCACTACCAGATTATTAATCTGCATTACCAGATTATTTCAAAATCACCTATTTCAGAATTAATAACTCCCCAAATAGTTTCAAAATAACACATCCACACTACAAATCCCCATTGAAATAGGGCAGAATTATATCCAAGTAGCACGTCCACACTCGTCGGAACCTGAATTGCATTTAAAACTCTCTGGAAGCCTTTTGGTCAGGGCATCAGGACAGCAGTCGCTTCCTGTAGCTTCTGCCTCAGGTTATCTGAGGCTCGTGCTTAAAGGGGCTCCCCTCTATAGCCATGTCTCAGTCTCCTCTCCATTGCCTGTCTCCTTGAGGGACAGCAAACTCTTCTCACTGCCTGCTCTGGTTGCTCTTGTGGATGCCACAGGACTTCTGCCATGGAGCTGGACCTGCTACAAAACAGTTACCAGCTCTTAGAGCTCCTGCTGCACCTCCTGGGGCAGTTAATGCCGGCTGCCCTGATGGCACTGCAAAAACAGGAGCAGCAGGTCATTCTGGGGCATCTCCTCACCCTCAGACCAGGTGCTTCTCATGTACTACAGTCTCCTCTGGACATCGTACACAATCACTTCTGGCACAGGGAGAACAACTCCGACTGGTGGGACCAAATCATCACGGAGCAGGGGGATGACAAGCAGTGAATCCATAACTTCCGCATGCAGAAGGACATCGCACGCATGTTCAGGAACTCCAGCCTCTTCCAGAGAACGCACACCAGCACTTTCTTCCTCAACCGCATCATCAGGCTTCAGGAGGTAGACATAGCTATGTGCATCGTGGGTAACGCAGTCTACATCTTGCACCCCTGGCTGATGAAGCCCTACACAGGAAACCTGACCTCATGGAAAAATGGTTCAACGCCATACTCAGCAGGTGCCACATCATGGTGGAGGACACCATTGGCTGCCTCAAAGGGAGATTCTGGTGTCTCCTCACCTGCCTGGACCTTGGCAACTGGAACATCTCCCAGGTGGTGGCAGCCTGCTGTGTCCAGGGTTCTCTCTAAGGTGTATCCCTGCGTGGATGCACACCAAGGCTGTGTCTAGACTGGCAAGTTTTTCTGCAAAATCATCTGCTTTTCCGGAAAAACTTGCCAGCTGTCTACACTGGCCGCTTGAATTTCTGCAAAAGCACTGACGATCTCACGTAAGATTGTCAGTGCTTTTGCGGAAATACTATGCTGCTCCCGTTCGGGCAAAAGTATTTTTCTGAAAAACTTTTGTGCAAAAGGGCCAGTGTAGACAGCAGAGATTTGTTTTCCGCAAAAAAGCCCCGATCGCGAAAATGGCTATCGGGGCTTTTTTGCGGAAAAGCGCATCTAGATTGGCCATGGACGCTTTTCCGCAAAAAGTGCTTTTGCAGATGCTGCTCCCGTTCGGGCAAAAGTATTTTTCTGAAAAACTTTTGTGCAAAAGGGCCAGTGTAGACAGCAGAGATTTGTTTTCCGCAAAAAAGCCCCGATCGCGAAAATGGCTATCGGGGCTTTTTTGCGGAAAAGCGCATCTAGATTGGCCATGGACGCTTTTCCGCAAAAAGTGCTTTTGCAGAAAAGCATCCTGCCGATCTAGACACGCTTTTCCGAAAATGCTTTTAACAGAAAACTTTTCCGTTAAAAGCATTTCTGGAAAATCATGCCAGTCTTGACATAGCCCAAGAATTTGAGGCCTGCCTTTCTCAGCAGAGCCGCGCAGTCACTGCTCAGCTTTTCTGGGGTGGAACCATATAGCAGGCAGTTGCTCTACCCCAGGAGCAGCTGGGAAGCCATCATGGGGCCTTGGGACTAGCTTCATCCATTCCCCAGGCCTGGAACTAAGGGCCACATACTATCCTGGGCCAGAGCCACACCACATTACAGGCGACTGCTTCCGTTGGCCCCAGCTGAGGCCAGATCTGTAGCTGCGTGGCACAGCAGGTGTGCTGCCACAAGCTGTTTCCCTTCTGCCTGTACTTTTAAAGCCTGTGGGAACATACAATAATTGCAAAGTTTTTGGCTCTGAATAGTAGCAGTGATGGAAAAAACTGTTGGCTTATTTAGTCTCTCGGTGCTTCCGAATGATTGGAAAATCCTTCATCTTTTGGTTGGAGTGCTCTTCTTAATCTACATTCATAGTCAAGAGGTTTGACCAGGAAAGCAGCCAAGTGGAGATGTTTCCAGGGGCCTTTTAGGGCTGCTGTCATGCAGGAAGCAATCCCGGATCTTGCAAACAACAATCTGTCAGCAGTGAGAGTGGAAAATTCCAGGTGACCAGAGGGAGTTGGGAGTCCCGTGCGCAAGTCACACCTTCAGGCAGGATTTCCCGTCTTCCCCGCAGAAGCCATTCTCTAGACTCCAGAAGGAAAGTTCACAGGAAAGTCCCTTGAGCATCAATGGTGCCCATTGAGAATGACGTCTTCCTCCAGGAGCCATTCCACTGGAAGGGTCCCATGACGCCGTGCGGGTGACCGAGAATGTGGCGGCTTAGTCGAAAGCAGAGGGTTTCTGTACGAGGGGGGCCTCTCCTGCACGTCGAGCCTTCTGATGTCAAACTTAGGCAGGGCTGAATGGGCTTTCTCGGGTGCCACAATAGCCTGTGCTTCTGTGTGAGTGTGCTGGCCTACTAGAGAGCCGTGCCTCTGTCTAAGCTGCTTCCCAGAGAGGGATCCTCTGAGGCCAGAAGGAGAAAGCAAATGAAGCTGTGGGGGAGGGCTGATGTCCTTGGGGAGCGTTGTCCTGCTGCTCCTTCCCCTGTGAGGTGTCTGGGACGGGAGAGGGGCTGGCTCTGTGCACTGGGTGGCTGGTGTCCAGGGAAGGCCCAGCCTGACCTGGCCCAGGCCCACTCTTAAGCCAACTCTCTCTTAGCCTGAGCTGCTGACTCTTGAGCCTCCGTCTGCGGCTTGGGCCAGAGAGCCTGCCCCCGGTAGGGTGCCTTGGGGGAGATGCTGCAGCAGCAGCAATTTGGGCCATGAGGTCACCCCAGTGGGGATAATGGAGGCAAGAGAAGAGTCTTCCGTACCATTGGGGGAAGCAGGCCAGGCCGAGTCCCTTTCGGGCCCTGGGTGAAGGAGGGAGCTGAGAGAGAAGAGCAGTGGTCAGAGCCTCCTCCCAGCAGGCTTTGTGCATGCTGGAGTCTCCGGTTAGCAGCTCTACTGGCCTGCTTTGGGCCTAGCCCTCAAGTTTTTGCCTCCCTGTTCATAGCAGGCAGCTAAAGGAAGACAGTCCACCACCCTGCCCTTGGCAAGTGGCCAGCATGGGGCTTGAACCCACGACCTTGGTGTTATTAGCACCACGCTCTAACCAGCTGAGCTAGCCGGCCCACAAGCAGTGGGGTCACGTGTGAGCCTTTCAGAAAGCAGCCTGGCGCACCTGCGGGGACATTGTGGCCTCTGAAACTAGGTGGGTGGGTCACAAAGCTTCCCCAAGGGTAGGGGAATTAGCTCAGGTGGCAGAGCACTTGCTATGCATGCAAGAGGCCATGGGATTGATGCCCACATTCTCCACACACGGGTGGGTTGGCCTTTTCCTTTCACAGGTGGAGCCACTCAGACCGCTAAAGCCTCCAGTGGCCCCCTCCCTCTTCCTACCTGCTCTCCCTGAAAGCCAGCCACCATGGGGCAGAAAGCTGCAGAGCCTCAGCCTTCCTTTCCCTGGTAGGCACAGAAGCGGTGGAGACAGGCTCCAGGCTGACAGACTTGCCCCAATGAGAAAGTGCCTGCGACACATTTCCGAGGGAGCGTGCTTGCCTCACGTGGTCTTCAGGCCCCTCTTTTGAGCTGAGCCATTGGCCGCTCTCTTGCTGACCTAAGGTGATTGGCTAGCAGAGAGTGCCACTCACGGGCACAATCGCTCGGCTCCCTGGGATGTACTGAGTGACTGAGCAGACTGGTGGGAGGTACCTGATGGGCAGGTCACCCACATGGCCCCTGAGCTCGGCCCCTGGGCAGCCATGCCCTCAAGAGCTGAGGTGATTCTCTTCTAAGACATACCAAGCCAGCGAGAAAGATCACATTCCTTCCCCTCCCTCACTGGCAAGCAGCAGCTCAGACGTGCAGACTCCTTCGTCCAGTCCTTAGTCCTTTCACTCCTTGTCTCGCCCCCGAAACATTGAACTTACTGCCGAGTACTTAGTTCAGACCAATGGGACCCAACTAAAGCATTCTTCTGATCTTGAAAGACCAGCCATACCTCCAGGTTGATCTACGACTCAGATCTTACCCAATTAGCAGCCTGTTAGCAATACGTTAGTATCTCAGGGGTTGTTTACAAGAATGAAAGGAAGAAAGGAAGGGAGGAAGGTGAGAATTACATACATGTGCAAATTTTAAGAAATAAGTGGAAAATCTGGAGATAGTCCAGGGAAGAGTAACAAGAATGATTACAGGTCTAGAAAACATGAGGGGTGCGTCTAGACTGGCAAGATTTTGCGCAAAAGCAGCTGCTGCTGCACAAAAACTTGCCAGCTGTCTACACTGGCCACTTGAATTTGCGCAAGAGCACTGACGTTCTAATGTAAGAATTCAGTGCTTCTTGTGCAAATACCTTGATGCTCCTGCTCAGGGCCAGTGTAGACAGGCGCTTTAATTTTTTGCGCAAGAAAGCACGATGGCTAAAATGGCCATCGGAGCTTTCTTGCACAAAAGCACGTCTAGACTGGGCACGGATGCTTTTGCGCAAAAGCATCTGTGCCAATCTAGATGCTCTTTTGCGGGAATAATTTTAATAGAAAAAGCTTTTCCGTTAAAAGTATGTCCACAAAATCATGCCAGTCTAGATGCAGCCCAGCTGTGAGGGAAGACTAAAGTAAATGGGCTTGTTTAGTCTGGAAAGGAGAAGACTGAGAGGGGCCATGATAGTGGTTTTTAAGTATCTAAAAGAATGTCACATGGAGGGGGAGACAAATATTTCTCCTTGGCCTCTTAGGATAGGAGAAGAAGTAATGGAGTTAAACTGCAGTAAAGGAGGTTTAGGCTGAACATTAGGAAAAAACTTCCTAGCTGTCAGGGTGGTTAAATACTAGAATAAATTGCCTAGGGACGTTGTGAAATCCCGATCTCTGGAGATATTTAAGAGCAGGTTAGCTAGCCCAGTGTTTCTCAACCCATCGTATGTGTACCCTTAGGTATACTCAAAGGAAGTCTGGGGGGTATGTTAACACAACTGAAATTTGGAGAAAACTGAATTTTTGTTTTAAGTTTTACAGCATTTCATTATTTTTTTTCTTTTTAAACCCAAAAATGTCATTGCCTGCCCAGCTACGATTAAGTGGTTTAAACAAATGTGTTGGAAATGTAGAAAAAAAAATGGTGTGTCTGAAAAATGTTGGAAATGTAGAAAAAAAATGGTGTGTCTGAAAACCGTAGGTACTGGCGGTACATATATATACATATATTTTAAAGGAGTACTTTATAAAAAAAAGGTTGAGAAACACTGACAGATCTAGTAATCCCACCCCAGGGACCAGATGTTCCTTTTCTCCTGCGCTCATTGGTGTATGTGACAGGTTCTAGTGCCACTACAAAAGCAGCCTTTTCCCTTTTTATATGGGGCAAACGCTCAGTATGGAGGGTTATTTGCTGGATTATACCTCTTAGTTCTTGTAGTTGAGTGGGGGGGATGAAGGGGCATCCGCCCTTACCCCCATTTTATTATTATAGGATGGGAGTGTAGAGACGGTACCATCCCTTAGACCATGGGTGGGGAACCTTTTTTGCGTCAGAGGTCGCAGAAGAAGGCCCCACAGAAAAGTTAGTTGGGGACCACACATAAGCGAGAGGCAAAACAGACAAACTAACAAACTCTCACT